AGAGGGCATCCTAGAACTAGAGTTACAGTTGTCGGCTGCCCAGAGGGTGCTGGGAATTGAACCAGGGTCCTCGGGAAGAACAGCCAGTGCTCTTAACCGCTGAGCCATCTCTCCAGCCCCCACCTACCTTGTGTATAAGACACAGTTTCTCACTGGTCTGGAGCCCACTGAGTAAGCTAGGCTGGCTGATCAGTAAACACAGGATTCTCCAGTCTCTGCCTAGTGCTGGGACTACTGGAGCCCATCACCATGCCCAGATTTTTTTTTTTTTTTAACATGGGTTCTGGGATTGAGCTCGGAGCCTCATGCCTGCTTGGCAATCACTTTACCCACTGAGCTATCCTCTTCCTCCCCCCACACGCCAACTCCTCTGCCTTCTGGTGAAGAAGGATCACCCAGTGTGGACTGAATTGAAACAGTTTGAGTCTTTTACAATGTGTCTTGTGTGGAAATGCCATACCTCCATTGATATTCATGCATCCTTGTCTCATGTAGGATAGCATGACCTTTCTCCTTTCTCAGGCCTTTGTTCTTATCGTCATTTTCCCCATTTTTGCGGAAGTATAATTACTGTGCAGTGTTGGCGAAGGGAAGGCCAATGAGTTTGATCATGCTGTGACTCTATGGATGACCGGTTAAAATAAAGAACGTTTGCCAGCCCAAAAGCCTCCCTCACACCCCATCCCAGTCTTGTCCAAATGCCTAAGGCCCCAGCAGCCTCTGGAGCACTGCTCTGGCTGTGTGGATCTCTTGTACCAAGTTGCTCCTCCCCTCTCCCCACCAGTCTCTTAGACTCATCCACGTAGTTACATGTGCCCTAGCACTTTGCTTTCACACGTAAGTACATGCCACAGTAAAGATAAACGCAGCCACTTCCTCACTCATGTGTCACCCGTGCTACGCAAGGCTCCTGTAATACACAAGGCTCGTAAAAACCTTTGTATAACACTTGTCACTATCTCAAGCAAAAACTCACAAGTGAAGTTGTGGGGGTCCTTGTGAAGGAATGTGGTGAATTCCACCATGGCCCTGGCATTTTGCCAGCTGTTCCTTGACCTTCTCAGCACTTAATACTATGTTTTAATTTTTAAGCTGCTCTCTGTGCAATATTCTATGTGCTGAGGTTTTAAGTCATGTTTCCAAGGTAGTGATGTCGGCATATTTTCACGCATCTGTTGAATTCATTCGTGTCTCTCTCTCTTTTTTTTTTAGGTTTTTGTGTGTTTTGCAAATGTGGATTTTGTGTTTTGATTGTGTCTGTGCAGGAATTTTTCATATGTCTGATACAAGGACTTTGTCAGATGGATGCACTGTGAATGCCTTTTCCCAACTGGTGTCTTGTCTCCATTTTCTTCATAGCATTTTTGCAGAACATAAAACTTTAACTTTGGTGAATTTCTTTTACACTTAATCATTGCTTTGTTTTGTTGTGGTGGACTCCTTGTTTTTGTTTGTGAGACAGTAGCCTGAAACTCACTAATTAGCCCTGGCTGACCTCAAACTTGTAGCAATCCTCCTGCCTTGACCTCCCCAACTGCTGGGATTATATGACAAACCACCACGCCAGGCTTTTCTAAAGTCTTATTATCAGCATTTCCTAGATCCTGCAGTTTCCCCAGCCCTAGGACAAAAAGTTAGCCTTCTGTGTTTTCAAGTGGCTTAATTAAGGCCTCCAATCCATTTCATAGCAGTTTCACATGGATCTCTACGTTACAATGCAAATTTTTGTGCACACCGAAGATCCGCTGAGTCAGACACTCCCTCAGAAAGACTTTGAAATATAGAGTTCACTTCGCCTCCAGGTGACTCTGATACCCACCAGTGTGAGAACCACGGTGTGCAGGATGGAGTGGAGATTAGCGCTCGCTGTCTTTCACGCTAATCTTCACTTGTCCGGGCCCTGTTTCATAGGGACACTCACATTTGGGTTGACTTGCCGTGTGAGTTACTTTCCTGTCACTGTGGCAAAACATCTGGCAGAGATTAATTGTGCTGGTTTGAATGAGAATATCCCCCCAGGCCCATATATTTGAATTAGTTGTCAGGGAGTGGATCTGTTTGAAAGGATTAGGATTAGGATGTGTGGCCTGGTTGGAGGACATTCGTCTTGGAGGTGGGCTTTGAGGTTTCAAAAGCCCACACTAGGCCCAGTCTCTCTCTCTCTCTCTCTCTCTCTCTCTCTCTCTCTCTCTCTGCCTGTGGATGAGAATGTATCCCTCAGGTACTTCTCTAGTGCCATGAGTGCCACATGCTTCTGTCATGATGATAACAGACTAAGCCTCTGAAACTGTAAGCAAGCTCCCTGTCAAATTATTTTATAACAGGTGCCATGGTTATAATGTCTCTTGGTCATAATGAAGACATTTAGGAAGACTGTTCATTTGAGCTCATGGTTTCAAGGGGGTTCATGTCATGGTCGTTTGGCCCCATGTTTCTAGGCCAGCTTTGAGACAGAATTCCGTGGTGACATAAAACTGTGGAGGAGAAGGAGGAGGGGTGCTGGCAGTTCCCCTCACAGAAGATTAGAAGCAGGGAAAGAATGACAAGAAAGGGACAAGATACCACCAAGAGCCTGTTCCTAGTGACACTTCCTCTGGCTAGGTTCTGCCTCCTAATCTGTCATTCCTGAGTTTCGGTCTGCAGTCTTCAGTCCATTGATGACTCAGCTATGACTAGACCAAGCCATCTGTGGACAATGGAACAAAAGAAGACTTGGGGTGTTCTTGGTAACTGTGAACCCCTTAGTATCTTCCCAGCCCAAACTACAAAAAGTAAATGTGGTGAGAACAAGAGGCATCAAATGGCTGTTCCCTGCTCCAGGAGGTCAACTGCTCTAGACCCTTCGGCTTCTGCAACTCCCGCAGGCTCCCGGAGGCCTTGTCTAGACCCTGGTGAGGTTACTGGTCAAAGCACTAGACTTCATTCATCCTGTGCTGGATCTGTACCTCCTCACCACATGTCCAGCTCCCTGAACACTCACAGTATGGCAAGAGTTGCTCCTGAGATTGACAGTTGGCTCCTACCTAGAAACACCCATTTCCATCACACGTCCACCAAGATTTCAGAGTGGCCATCTCCTCTGGAAAGCGCACGCATGAACTTCATTATGTTGATGCCGCCTGTGTCTACCCACCTTTTCTGCTTCCACCTCCATGCCATTCTGTGTGACTCTCATCCTTCCCTGCCTCCCTTGTCCTCAGCAGCCTCACCCCATTTGCTCACTCTCTTTTCTTTGTCACATGGTCCCTCTTTCTTCCCCTAGGTCACATGCAAGAAACAGGCCCTAGAGAAACAGCTGGCACAGAGCCTGCAGGATCAGGAAACCCAGATGGACATTCTGCAAGACGCTCTCCAAGAGAAGAACTCATTGTCTGAGGAGCGGGCTCAACTACTGGCTAAGCAGGAAGCCCTGGAGAGACATAGCAAGCTTGTGACTAAGGAAGCAGCTGATCTGAGGTACCAGAGCGCCCACTAGTCAGGGCACACCTCTCTTGATCCTGCCTTCAGACAGCCCACGGTGTTATGACTCCAGAGGTGCTGTATAGACACAGTGGCCCCTGCCATGGCTGTTGCACGTGGTATGGACTGTGTAGAGAGGAAACACCGTGCCTTTGACATGGTTCAGTATTAGATGAGGTGCCGTGGGATCACTTTCCTGAAGACAGTGGTTGGGGTGGAGGGGCAACCCTGTCAGACCAGTAAAAAGAAGATATACAATTTCTCCCTGAAAAATAGAAGTTCGGTGTGGAGCTCCAGGTGGGCTGTGACTGGAGATGCTACAACTCCAGGGATCCTTTTCCCTCCCTTCAGCTGCCTGGCTCTAAGATTTTATTCCCAGGAAGACACCCACAGGTAGCAAGAGAGCGCATCTGACACTTCTGTCCAGTGGCTGTTCCCTACCGGAGGCAAGAACAATGGTTAGCTTAGGCTGGTCCCATAGCCTTTGCAGAGGCCCAGGCTGGTGCTTTCTCTCCCCAGAGTCCTCTCAGTCATGGAGGGTTTCCTGGAGGATTTCCTCCTGGAACTCCAGAAACTAGGCCCATGAGGAACTAGAAGGACCCAGATTTTCAACTTCTCGGAACTGACCTTTCTGAATAAAAACTGGTGCAAATACCCAAATGGCAAGTTTGGGGGAGCCTTCCCATGTGGACAAGAGCAGAGGGAGTCCTGAGCCCTGGAAACATATGCTTCCCTGAATATGAGCCTGGTCAGAGCTCTCTACAGGTGGGATCCTGCCCCTACTCTACCCTGGCTCCAGTCTTCACTTCTGGACCCAGAACCACTGCACATGGCAGCCCTGAAGACCCACCAGACAGCGTACCACGATGGCCTGCTGAAGCCTTGGTGGCAGGGCTGCTGGAGCTTGCCTAAACCATGTCTCTCCATTCACGGAGGGCTGGCTGCCCACAGACAGTGAGATGGGCTAGTCTCCACCCACACACCACACTGCCGCTGACCCACTCCTCCACACACCCATGTACGTTCACCTCAGAACACCAGCTTCCACTCCTGAGCTCAGTCAAAGTGGAATGCTCTCGGGCCTCCATGGAAAAAGACACTGAACATACCCTAGGGTTCCCAGGCTGTGAGCAGACACCAGAGTGTCAGAGCCCATGGCCCCCAGGCAAAAGCAGGCCTGCTTCTAGGAGGAGGCTTCAAGCATCTCAAAGGAAGGGTGTTCTCCACACACAGCTGAGAACACCTTGGCAGAGGGCATGTTCACCCGTGGGACGGGAAATTTGCAGTGTTAACAAGAGGATGGGGTATGGTGTAGCGGACAGCGAGGTTTCTAGAGCTTGTAGCCTGGGTCTGTTCCCTCACACATCAGGGGGTCCTGCCAGGTCTGTGGTGCTCTTCAAGGCAACACAGGAGCTGTGGTAAAACCTTCAGACTGGCCGAGGGCCATGGCCTCCCCAGGGGTGAGCTGATTGGCAGCAAGCCAGGTGTTTTCAGTCACATGCATCCCCTTGGAAGTGGGCACTGTTGCAGGCTGCTGCACCTCGCTCCACATGCTTTCCGAATGGTGAGCTGTGCACGAAAATCCGCCCAGGCCATCTTCCCACACCACCCGAAGCACTCCAGCTCCACTGGTGGTTCTGTGGTGACTCCTCCCTCGCCGAGGGCATGATCCCGCATAGGTCAGATGCACCACAATGTCTATGTTTCCCCTTTTCTTGGCATTCCAGTCAAGTTCAGCTAGCACTGTGCAAAGCTGTGGTGAGCACCCTCTCCTGTCTGTCAGCTGTCTCCAGAATCGGCACCTGGGTGAGGTCTTGCCAGGTCAAACTCAGCATGCTTATTTCCCCCACCCAACCTCTCCCACTCCCTTGTGAACTCTAGGCATGGTTGTCTTTAAGTCTTTGTTAATCTGGTGTGTGATTACTGACACTGCCTGGCTGTAGTTCAAATCTCCCTGGCCCAGATCTCTCCTGGTAAGGTAAAGTACATTTCATGTGCTTTTGTCTATTTGATATTTTCTTTGTAACACTTATTTTTCTCATTGTTCTAACTTTGTTAATGATTGGCAGGAACTCTTTGCATATGATGGGTACTTACCCCTATATACTAAAAGCAGATTTTTTTCTTCCAATTCTACCCCTTGTCATCATCTTCTTCTTCTTCTTCTTTTTTTTTTTTTTTTTTTAGCTTTTAAAGATCAGTTTCTTAAGTTAGCAGAGTGATGGGTTTCATTATCTGCTCTTTTGTTCCAAGTTGATTTATGGAATTTCTTCTGTGGAAAACTGCCCCTCCCTCCTTTAAGTGTATCCAGATCTGTTGGCCTCTTTATTATTATTATTTTTCCTTCTGGCTTTCATGTCAGGCTAAAGAAGATTAAAATATCCTCTGTGCTTGTTCTATTTTTGCAACTCTGAGTTATTATGCTATGACTTGTTTACTCTGTTTTGTTTCTGGTTTTTGTTTTTTGTTTTTTTTTTTAATTTGGCCGGAAATGTGTTTTGTGTAGGGTATGATTGATTCTTACATGTTCGAGCTAATGAGACACCTCAGGACCGTGTGGATGATGAGCCTGCTCTCTGATGCTTCTCCACAGGGCTGAGAGGAACTCTCTGGAGAACAGCCTTTTGGAGGCCCAACAGCTGGTGACACAGCTGCAGACCCAGCAGGAACAGCTAGAAGGAGAGGCCCATGCCACTCAGCTCGCTCGCCAGGCCTTGCAAGGTGCTGCAGAGGGTGGACTTTCTGGGCCAAGTCACTGTTGGGAGGAACTCAGCCCCTACTGGTGTTGTTCTTGCTTCCTGCATCCTTAGAGGAAGACCCAAGGGCTCTGAACTTATGTGCTTGTGAGTGATGTGCAGGGAGTTCCCTGCCCATCCTGCTTTGTTGCCAGCTGAGAGCTCAGACCTGAGGTGCAGCCACAGGCTCTGTACGGAGGCCCTGGCCCTGTACCCACCCATTCCTGGTAGCCATGCCCCCCACTCTTCCCACCCTGTACTAGCAGAGCAAGCAGCTACCTCTTAAGTGGGTGATTTCAAGAGACAGAGGGCACTATGGTGACACACCTGAAACTTCACAGTGGAGATGGAGCGGCTGAAAAGTGACTGGGAGGTCCGAGAGACAAAGCTGCTGTGGGAGCTGGGCCAGCTGCAGCAGCAGGCTGCACAGCAGGAGCAGAAGGCACAGCTGGCCTTGGAGCACCAGGCGCTGGCCCACAGAGAGGACCTGGCGCGGCTGCAGAGGGAAAAGGTCTGTCTCCCAAGGGTCCACTCGGTCACTTCCCAGTGGTCTGCCATGTCCTCCCAACAAGCAGAGGTAGCAGAGCAGGGAGAGGGACCTGGCTGCTCTTCATAGTTTAGGAGGTCAGGGAAATCTTGTGCAGTGTAGGGGGGGCAGCTGATGTGCAGGGCAGGCTCCTCTTCACAGAAGGACCAGAGCCTGAGGATCCAGTGCCCTGGCTTCAGGGCTAGATAGAGACCAAACAGAGTTTGATGCCTTTCAGAGCTGTACCAGTAGTTATAGGCCCCTAGAGGCTTTGTGTCTTACATCTTTTCTTCCACCATCCATCCACCTGTTCATCTAGCCACACATCACCCATCCATATAGACATACCTCTATCTATCCATCCAGCCATCCAAACACACATCTATCCATTCATCCCTTAGCTATATGTATATTCATCTACCTGTTCATCCATCCATTTATCTATATACTCATCCATCCATCTGCCCATGCCTCTGGACCAGTGCCACATGGTGGAGATTCAGGAGCAGCTATATTAGTCTGGGATGGTAGATGCTGAGACCCAGAGAGGCCCGTCCCAGCCTCTGCTTGGCAGATCTTGTAGAGAAGAAGGAAGGAGAACTGAGGGCTAGGCCACCAACCCCTAGCTCTTTGGGGGTTAGGAGGCTTCACTCAGAGCCTCAAGTGCCTGTCAGTCTCTCATTCCCGACCTCACACCCTGTCCTTTGCCTTGGCCAGGACACTCTCAGTTTATCCCTGGCAGAGGAGAAAGAGGTGGCTGTCCAGTGGATGGAACAACAGAAGGATCTGGTGACAAAAAGCACAGCTGAAAGGGAGGCTCTGAAGGGAGAAATTCAGAGCCTGAAGCAGGAGCGGGATGAGAGCCTCCTCCAGCTGGAGCATGAGATGCAGCAGGTGATGATGGCATTGGAACTGGGATGCTTAGCCAGCGCTCTCTCTTCTTTGTCCCAGCACTGAAGCCTCCTCCAAACAACTGTATCCTTTCCAGATTGATACAGCTTTGCAAATGACAGGAATCCTGGGGAACAGACATCCACCCACCTACTCATCCGTCTATCTACATACCCATCCATTTATCCACATGCCACCCACCCACCTACATCTTCATATATCATCTAACCAGAAACCCCTCTGCACACACATACACTTATCTACACATTTATGTGTTTTCTCACACATCCAGCCACCCGCTCATCCATACACATGAATGACCTCCCATTTACTTATCCATCTTCTACTTGACTATACATCTCTCTATCCATGCTCACAGTTCTCTGCTCACACACATGGCCATCCAGAAAGAAACCCAGGTATCCATCCACACAGCTGACCATCCACCCATTAACCTTCCAGCCATCATTGCTCAGCTTACCTGTCTACCCACTGAGTCCTTCCAACTAGCCAAACATTCAGCTATCTACCCATGTGCCCAACTATTCATCCATATGTCTGTCTGCTCACTCACCTGATCAGCTAAACACCCCACCATCTGCAGGGTCCAGCCACCTAACTCTCACCTAACTTGATAACTGTTCCATCCCACAGGTCCAGGCACTCGATCTAAAAGGTCACCCTTGAGCCCAGGCTTCTTCAAGGAACTGGGCCATACTAAAGAATCCATTGTTGAATGAACTGAGCAAAAAAGTTCACACATGCATGCCTGTCATCACAGTGAACAAGGACAATGGCCTCTTCGCACCAATTACAGATTGCAAGGACAGGACATGGGTGGATGAAAGAGGCAGGGTTTATCGTCAGAATGTGTTTCTGATTGACTGTCAACATTCTAGGGTACAAGCTCTTACGAGCCTATTTGACTGGTAGGAAATTGAGATGTACACATGTTGATCTCCTGCCCAAAGCTTCACAGTGTACCCTCTGGGCATGGGAGCCATGATTTTTAACTGCACACCTCTCTGTGTCCTGTAATGGAGGAAGCTGAGGCCTTGCAAGAGGAGCATGGTGTCAGGAAGGAGGCAAGAGCCTGGGATAAGAGCATTCAGGAGGATTTGGGATGCATGTATCTGTGTGTCCACCAGAATCTGTGTGAGCAGAGGAGTCCTGAAGGTCCTACACACTTGGTTCAATTAATGGAAAGCAAGGGCTATTCCAACGCAGGAGTAAAATGAGGCAGTAGTGAGGCTGGCGTCAGGGAGGTCAAGTGAAAGGGGACGGTCTAATAATGTTTACTATAGCTTGTAACTAAAACAGTGGCATATCTAACCTGCTGTCACAACCAATAAAAGACACAGACACCTGAGAGATTTTGGAATAGCCTTATCTTGCCTGGGGCAAGGCAGATATTAACCCTCTAAGCTATTCTCATCACTTCCCAGCCCCTTCCAGAGCTACCTGTTTTAATCATTTCTATTGGGCTGCTTCCCATTCACAGTTCCACAAACACTTGTTTCTTGTTCATCTGGGCCACTTTCCTCCATCCACACCAGCCATGCATGTGCTTCTCTCTCCACCTGACCTGTGGTGGCATCTTGTTCCTTCCCCCTCTTCTTCCTGTCTCCTTTCTTCCCATGATCCTCCTCCCCTGAAAACCCTCCAACTTCAGCCACACCTACCCTATTAGGCCTTTTAATCAGCCAATCAGCACAGAGAATCAGAAAGGACAGAAGCTGAAGCTGCAACTGTGGAGGATCTAGAGGCACTTGGGACACAGTGGCATCACTCCCATGGGTACATGAGAAGAGGCTCAGGGAATCAACATGTATGGGCATGGGCAGTGGTCAAGGCCCACACAGACCCTCACTGCCAGTGAGACCATCCACCAGGCCACACTATCTGCTCTCATCAGACTGCAGCTTCCTGGTTTCACAAACAGCGCTGAGAAAGGAGATTCAGTGAGAGACGAGAAAAGGCTAAGAAGAAAGCTTCTGATGGTTTCCCTGGACCCGCAACATGACCACAATAATATTGTGCTTCAAGGCTACGAAACAGAAAGCCAGGCATGTGGGCAGTGGTCACCACAGCAGCCAGAGGACTTTCCTGGCCCTCTGCCTGCACTGTGTGCTGCCCCTTGTGTTAGGCTGTCAACTTGAAGAAGCGTGCTGGGTGGGGAAGATTGTTCATGCCGTTCCTCCTGTAGGAAACTGACTTCAGTCGTCTTCGGGAGACCCCAGGCCAGAAGAGAGAGTCTTCATGAACGGAGCCTCAAAGGCACAAGACAGCTGGCTACGAAGGGCCATTTCCCCTTCCTTCTCCATTTTTGTGGTCTGCGGGGCCTCAACTGTGACCTGCTACCTCACTGCAGTGAAAGCTGCTCTTTGTCCTTCATGAAGATTTGCCTAAAATTTCAACAAGTATTTTCCTGCTGTGCCCATCAGTGAGAACTTCAAGAAGCCTATGGGTGGTTGGAAGGTCCCAAGCCTCAAAGGTCTCATAGGCCAGGGGTGGCCAGGTTCCCAGCATGAGGCAAAACAAAGCAGGCATGGGTTCTGAGAGGAAAAGGATATGTGAGGAGCACAGTTTTGTTTTGTTTTGTTTTGTTTTGTTTTGTTTTTAATCGTTCAAAATATCGAGAGTGGGGGAAGGGGGCTTCCTGACTCACCACCTCTCTTCCTCAGGGACTATTGTCATTCTTAAAGTCCTCAACAAGGCAACCCATCCTAGCTGCCATGGGTTAGTGCAAACCCCAAAGGTTAGAGGTACAATGACTGGAAGCTAAGGGGGGTGCTCCTCAGCTGCCCCTACTCATGACCAGAGTGGATACAAGGGTAGGAGGCGTTACAACCCTCAACTAGGAATTTGGTAGAAGGTCTGGAACACCAAGGAAGGTGTTGTGCTTGCTGCCATAGTTTTGTCTCAGACATTACAACCAGAATGAGCCAGAAAACCAATTTGATTTCAGCTTCCAGTTCTCCCAGAGAACCAGTTTGGCTCATCACTCTCCTAGCCTGTCTGTTCACCAACCAAGGCTCTCCCTGAGCTGGTATCCAGGGCTCTTGGGGCTTCCCTGCCTGGCATGATCAATGATACTGTTGGGACGTGGGCTCCGCCCTGCCCCTCTGGGAGCTGGGCCTCCCTGAGTCACACCCTTAAAGAGACAGGCACCCTTGGGGTTTAGCGCTGTTGGTGGCTTCTTCTGATCACTGTGGAAAGCAATGCCAAGAATGATAGGGAATTGTGCCACACTGGTCTGCCCGGTGAAGACCAGGACTCTGACCCGGGAAAGGTGGGAGCGACAGGAAGCGACAGGCTGTGCACCTGAAGGGACGGTGTAGGATGAAGGGAGGAGGTTGCCCAGTGAGAACTCAGGGTCACCCCCTGCCCAGTGGCAGGGGATGCCAATAAAAGTTGGCGAACCTGGCAGGAAACAACAGAAGCATTTTGTTGTGCCTCAGAGGGAGCCTGGCACCTCCGCCCAGCTCCCTTGCTCCCAAGTTCCTTCATGAGCACCCTGTCTTCTCATGTCCAGGCCCTGTCTCTGAAGGATGCTGAGAAAAGCCTGCTGAGCAAGGAGCTCTCTGGAGCTAACAGGGAGCTGGAACGGGCCCGGCAGGAGGCCCAGAGCCAGCAAGCACAAGCTGAGGTGAGCCCAATTGACAGTTCCTAGCCAAGGACCAGACCACTGCCTGAGCATGTATGGCCAAGCAAGTCCTGGCAGAGCCCCCAGAATAGCCCCTTTCTGTCTGGCCCTGGAAGTAGTGGCCATCTTTGTCTTTTCATGAGTTTGGGGTCCCCCTGGTGACTCCCAAGTTTCCTGCTAGAAGAAGCTGCTGTCTCAACAGCAGGAGTATCCAAGTGATTATGGCTGTCTATGCCTTTCTCTGCCTGTGGTGGCTACAGGCACTGAGACTCTTCTGGCCTGGTGCTCTAGGGAATCAGAGTTGATGAAGACTGACAGGTGGGCCAAGCTGGGCCATACACTGGATAGCAAAAGCCAGGGGAGGTAGTCCCAGGGTAGACCCACCTTCTGATCCACATTGCATGAGCCTTGCCAGCCTGTGCTCAAGCTGGTTCTACTAAAGCCCAGTTTCGGGCAGTCATAGAACTATTCCTGTTTGCTGTTGGAACAAGAAGCTGAGACTGTCCCTCTGGCCAGCCTTTGGCCCTTGGAGAGCTGTTCTTGCTGTGCATGTGGTCAGTGAGAGCAGAACACCCAGCTGGAGTAGGAGGCCGGTGTGTGGAGGTGGCAAGCTCTCGGGGAGGGTGTCCTGGGGATGCCGATGCTGATGCAAGTAGGCAAGGGCTGATCCCCAGTGCTGTACAATAGGAAATAGTGTGTTAACTCGGTGTGACATTCCCCAACTCCACACATACTCTGACTGCTCCCATCACAACCTAAAGGAGTGTCCAGTCCCCGGGAGCTTCCCCTTGCTCCTACCTGCCCTGCTCTGTCTCCTCTCACCCTTAGTCCCTCACAATGGCTGGACAGCACTTCGCTGACACAGGCCTGGAGGGGTCCTCAGTCTCTGACTATGCTCTTCTCTGTAAGCTGCACCCTTAACCAGTCTCCACCCTCTAGGCAGGAAAGCATCCTGATACGCTGGCAGCTGCCATCTCCTCACAGACCAGCCTCTGCAGGAGACAACCCTGGCTTCTAGAGCCCTTTCTCATGCTGGCCAAGTCTCCCCCTGGGCTAGGGACCAGGCCTTCCAGCCAGCACAGCTCCTCGGGGAGCTCATTAAGGGTTCTTTTGCCACCTCAGCTTAGAAAATGGAAATTAAAACCCGCTGAGAGAGGGGAAGTTTGGCCAAGGAACCCCAGCTGTGGGGTGACATGGCACTGAGCCACTGATGGGGGGGGGCTCCCTGGCCTGCATCATCGCTGCCTCCAGGAGCTGGTCCCCAAGATTCACAGGGAGCTGCAGCCTCACTGAGCAAGCAATTTTGGGCCATGTGGGCACAGAGCCACCAACTGGCCATCTTAGGTGACTCCTACCAATTGAGGTAGAGAACAGGGCCCAAAGGCCAGAGCAAGAGGTGGGGCTGATGGGAGTCTGTAGATCAGTCTCAGGATGAGCAGAGTAACATCTCTGTCTATGGACGAGGAACCCAGGAGCTGGTGCCTAAGAACCTCCATCTCCCTTGGGTGCTCAGCAGACCCTGGGGGGAGAGAGATAGGCTGCGTCATAGCACAGCAGCAGACCTTGGCTGTGCTGAGCCCACAGCACTGTTGCAACTGCAAAGCTCTGTGGTGGCAGCATTCTGCAGATGTGACTGGGAGGGAGATGTCCCATATTGCCACCCACCCACCAGAAAGGCCAGGAAACAGAGTGCCAGGTGGACAGGACAGATATGGTCAGCAGTGCCCAGCCTCCTTCACCTCATCTCTCCACTGGGATTTCAGCCGCCTCACCCCACACCGACCCAACACTGACCATAGTGGATGCTGCAGGACTCAGAGCTGGGACTTAGGATGCTCCACCTCCAGCAAGACCTGGGTGACCCAAGTGACCACAAACCTGCACTGGGTGGAGGCCCAGCTCCAGAGCCATTGCTTGGCCAGGCCAGCCCCACATGCTAGTGCCTCTGAGGGCAGGGCCTGCTCATTTGCTAAGCAGCTGTTCCTGCCCCACCGCCACATAAACATTCCTGGCTGAACAGGAATGTTAGGCAGAAAAGGACACACGAGCTCCCCAACCAGGCCCATTCACTTGCCATAGCCTTCTTGCTTGGGAATCCCAGAAGAACAAAGAGATATGTGCATGGGCTGCACAGCCTGAGCTCTCTTTCATGTGGAAAGCTTCTTGGGGCATCCTTCCCACATGCTTCATCTCTGGGGCTGGTAGTCAGACCAGCCTCCCAGAAACCCAGTGTTCTCCACATCCCCAGGCTACCATCACCACCATGACCACAGAGCTGAGAAGCCTCCAGGCCCAGTTTGAGGAGGCCATCTCCACCCACCAGAGAGAAGCTGAAACTCTGAGGGAGAAGCTCCGGGAAATAGTGGCTGAGCGGAGCAGCGTGAGGAGAGAGGTGAAATGGGATCTAGAGGGCAGCGGGGGTGGGTACTGAGGGGATGAGAGAGCAAGAGACTACTCCAGGACCAGGAAGACTCAAACGACTGCCCCATTTGATTTGGCATCTCTCAGAGGAGTGAAATGGCACCTGGCTGCTGGGGAAAGCTGGCCATGTCCTAACAGAAGAAGGTATTGTTTCTGGACCAAAGGGATAGGTTTGGTTGGCTTTAAGAGAACTAGACCCAAAGGAGCAAAGCCACTACTGAGAGAAAACCGGGCTGCTGTAGTTTGCCACAGGTAGATGTTTGAGTCCCAGTCATGGCTACCACTGGTCCTGCCTCAACCCAGGAAGACCACAGAGCACCTCACTTGTGCTTCTGTTGGGGCAGTCAGAGGCTGGCTACCCAGGGAGACTAGCCATGGATGATTGGTCAGAACCACACGGCCTAGGCTCCAGGGCCTCCTTCACTTCTACACAGTTCAGAGACTGAGAATCAGATATAGGGAGCTGTCATTGTACAGGGCTATAGCCTCCTCCCAATGCCTGCCTTCGAGGCCACTGTGACACAGGAGTGGGAGTTCTACCTATGAGACCTGTCTACCTAACGAGCCTCTGGAGAGCCCTCAGGGAAGCTAAGTTTACAGTGCCCAGAGCAGAAAAGCAGGAGAAGTGGGATGGTGGTGGGATTTTCAGGGACAATCATGGACCCTGATACTCACACAGAGGCTCCAGGAGCCATATGATCACAACAAGGTCAGGGACAGCCTTGGGCGGGACCAGGAGAGGCCACAGCTAGGCCAGGCAGGGGCCCAGCAGGCCCAGCAGATGGGAAGGTGTTTCTGAGGAGTTCTGACAGGACTTGGGGGTGCCTGGGAGAGGGAAGGGCAGGAGGGTATGTGGATGCAGGATGGAGGGGGGTCAGCCAGAACCCAGGTGGGGCCTGTGGGGACAAAGCGGCCTCACAGCTCCTGGGCTGTGTGCCAAGGCTGGCAGGCAGGGCAGCTGGCCTGGTGTGGTGAGGAGAGGGGCTGGCTCTCCCTCCCCAAGCACACCCTGAGGGCCCAGCCAAGAGCCCGGGAGAGGAAGAGAGCATGACTGAACATGACGGGTTGTTTATATTGGCCCCAAAAAGAAAGAGTTCCTTCCAACAGATTTCAAAGTCAGGCCTGGTCAGTGGCCACACGGAGAAGCAAAGTGTGATTTCAAAACTGGGGGCAGAAAGGGAAAAATCTAGGAAGATGAAGGGTGTGAGCCTCACAGCAAGGTCAAATTTCCAGTAAGGAATCCCTCCCCCAGAAAGCGATAAGGGGTGACAGGAGTCTGAAAATGTGGGGGGATAAAGTGGAGAAGAGAAATGATTGCAGAGAGAAGTGAGCAGAAGAGAGCCCCAGGTTGAGTCAGAATTTCCCCACTTTAGGCTGGAGGAATTTGCAGGTTCTCACAGAGCTTCTTGGGGTTCATACATGTGTACATACGCACACTTGTAAACCTACATGTGATGCCTCCCACTTGTGTGCACATGTAAGATGGCACAGATCTATGAACACAGACACACACTAGGTGATATGTGCATATGTACACCCATGCATTCACAGGTATACACATGTACAGGGCTCACATAGGAAAGGACATACAGACACTGAAAAAGATAGACATGTATGAGAGTAACAAACACGTGTACTTAGAAGCACACCTATCATACATGTGTAAGCAGACATTTGGGTATGCACCAAAGCACGTGTGGACACCCTCACATATGCATGCATGCATATATGCACACAGGCCACCCCTCCCCTGCTTGCCTTGCTGCCCTCCTCCCTGCAGAGCTCTGGAGTTGCCTCCCTGCAGGAAATTTCAAAAGAGACTGTTTATACAACTTCTAGTAAAGAAATAATTATTATAATCACATTACGCGATTTGGCTGTAAAATTCCTGCAAAGGGAATGGATGTCCTGAAGAGGAGGTGGGAGGCGATGCTGGGCAGTGGGGGAGGAGGTGGCCTGGCAGCAGGGGGGCCCTTCCCCCATTTGTTTTGCTTATTTTCATCTCCCCTACTCCGGGAAATGAGTGCAGCTCCTTTTATGATGGACAGGCCCTTTCTCTGGTCCTTGACCTTCTGGGTGGATTCTGCTGAGCTCAGCGGAAAATGCTCTGCACGGTTGTGGCTCCCACATGTGGGGGGTGGGCGGGGAGCGGTGGGGAGGCCCTGGCCCTTCCCAAAAACAGAACAACAATAACAGCGGGCGGACTCTGGAGCCAGGCCGGCCGGGGGCCTGGACAATGTCCCGTGAAAACAGCCAGCAAAGAGGGGTTTGCTTTTGGCAAACCAGCCACTCAACATCACTGAGTTCTTGTGGCTTCCTCTCTCAGCATGTCCCTGCTGGCTTCCTCCACCTCCTCCCCAGGGACACTTGAGAGCCAGGATGGAGCCTTCAATGAGGCTCCTAGTCAGAGTTGTAGGTTGGGATTTGGAGGCCTAGGAGTCGAGAGTGACTGCCCCTTCCCCACCCCCTTCCAGAGATGCCTCATGTTCTAGGGAAGGAATCCAGAGCTGTCCCCCTGGCAGTATGCAGGCAACACCCCTGTCTGTAGCATGGCGGGGTCCACCTTTGAGCCATGGGCCAGCCAGCAGGAGATGAGAGCTTACACCCATGGCCGCTTGCTCTCCCTGGTCAGCCCACAGAGGTACTAAGTGCCCTCCCTCGTGTTTGAGAAACCCATGCTCCTGTGGGTTGACCTTCCTTAAAGACTCCTTCGATGTTTATAGCCTCTTGCTTCCACAGCAGAACAGCCTGCCTGAGAGGCCCTGAGTCTGCTGGAGAATCTGGAGGGCACGGGTGCTTGAGATCTGCCTCCCTACATCTCCCACACTGTTAGAAGAGGAGGCCGGAGGGGGTGGTTGAAGTCAGGACTGTATAGTCGCCACCAGTTACATACATAGTTATCCAAACTGAGTCCTGGCCTAGTGGATAGGAGGGGCTGTCAACAGTGGAAGCTGATTGGAAGTGTGGACAAAGCTATGCCCCAGCTGTTGACACCACCTCCCTACTCCTGCCACCCCAATCCTCATCTCAGAGTTCTATAGAGTGATTATGCGACATAGCTAAGCCAAGGGGTGGGGGGTCGGGATAAAGGCTATACGGGCTTCATTCCTCAGGGATTTGCTTTCTCTTTCACCCAGCCAAAGTCAGAATCTTCTGGTTCCTGGAGCAGCTGCCTGAACACCCGTAGTCCACAGTCCCCAACTGGTCACTAGAGCATATTTCTCCCTTAGGCTGAGGGACTGCAGGCTCAGTTGAACATGGCTCATGAAAGGCTGGCTGAGCTGCATCAAGAGCTTCGGGACAGTGAGGAGAGCTGTGAGGGGCTACGCAGGGAGGCTTTGGAGGCTCGCCGGGCACTGGACGATGAGGCTCAAGAGAAGGATATACTGCAACACTCCAACACCAAACTGAGGGCCACCATCCACAGGGCTGAGCACGAGAAAGCCAGGTGTGACTTTAGAGTAATATGGAGGAATTAGCCTATAGAGTAGCTATGGGGAAGCCTGCAGCCCTGCTATTCAACCAGGCCATAGTGAGAGGCAGGGCAGGGAGCTAGCCTATGAACTGGGACAGAGACAGTAAAGGTAACCTTTAACTGTCCAGATTTAAATGCCTACAAATGAGTGCTAGCCTATGCAGGGAGACCACCTGTTCCTGTCAAGCAGTTCCCACCCAGCAGGCCATACAAGCTAGGGAACCGAAGTCCCCATGGGTGGCTCCTAGGCTAGGCTGGGCATGGGGTCTCTGAGAGTGGGACAGAGAGTTAAGGGGGGGGGGCGCTGAAGAGGATCTGAGAGGTGAAAGTGGACAGGGTCTCACTTCTGGCCACTGAGACTCAGACTGTGAGCCAAAGGTCACAGGAGCCCCTCCCCCAGAGGTTAGGCCTTAGGGCAGCATGTAGCATGTACACAGAGAAGAGCAGGTTCCCAGGGTGGGTGCAGGGAGCTCCGGGCCCAGGGTGCAGCCAGCCTGTGGCCTGCTCAGTTTTAAGAGGTCCAAGGAGGAGCAGGAGCAGAAGCTGCTGTTGCTTCAGGAGGCTCAAGTGACAGCTCAGAAGGAAACCCAGGAGCTGAGGACCAGGCTGCAGGAGCTAGAACGGGCACAGGGGGATGCCTGCCGGAAACTCCAGGAGTGCCACAGGCAGGTGAGGGAGCCTCCGCCCACCCAGGCTGGCCCTGCCTGGTCCTCCTTCCCTGTTCCCACATCACAGCCATCCTGGGTACCAGTTTCTTACTCCTGCTCTTTCTGTGGCATGACACCGGCCAAAGCCACTCCCTTAGTGAGAGCCATAACTAGCTCACAACTGCCTCCCATACTCCTCATCAGTGCCCTCATGCAAAGTGGAGCCCCGGTGTATGTCTGTGCAGTAGGAGAGGTTGGACCCCAAGCCCTCTGCCCAGAATTGAGGTCCCTTGAATATGGACAACTCCTAAAGGAAGGACGTGTGAGAAGAGGCAAGAATAATCAAAGCTGCTGGGTCCCTTAGCACCGCCTCCATGATCCCAGGTAAGAACACTGGAAGCTGAGAACCAGAGGAAGAGGCAGGAAGTAAGTGAGCTGCAGGCCCAGGTCTCTAGGGATGCACAGAAGCAACGGAGGAACTTGCAGGAGACACTGGAGCTGCAGAGACAGGTAGCTGAGGCCCAGACTTCCCGTGATGGTGTCCAGAAAGAGGTAGGAAAGCTTTTTGTCCCTCTTAGTGGGATCCACTGAGTTCTGGTCCAAACAGGGTCCAAGACAAAATCTGTGGGAACACCAATGTGGGAACACCAATGTGGGAGGCAGGAGGCAGTGAATAGGGACATGGAAAGAGGCCAGAAGGCCCATTTTCTCCTTTTACCCACTGTGCCTGTGATAACCTCACCATGAGTAGCAAGGAGCAGGTGAAAAGGATCTGAGGGCAAGGGGATTGGTTACAGCTGTAAACTCGTAATTTCCCCAGATTTGTTTTAGAAAAGAGCCAAATCTTACCCAGGTGTTGGGCAGAATTCTGGGCAGGAGCCAGGTAGGGAAGCCTTAGGACACTGAGTTAATGCCTACTTGCCTGCCCACATCACACATGCCCAGCCCCCCTCCCCCACAAATGTCCCCATGTCCTTCACTCACATAGCCCCTATGCTGACACTGTTCAGACACAACCAGGACTGTAGTTCAGTGTACTAAAGGTATTGCTTGCCACTGGGGACAGAGGGGCCTTTCTGAGCTCAGCAGTCCTTGGCTTTCAGGCCCAAACTGCACGCCTAGCTGTCTTCAACACCAGTCATGCCTAGCATGTGGGGGCTTAGCTCCCAAGCCCATGTGACCCGGAATGACCTCAGCCCCACACCTCCTTCTGTGAATAAGGTTATTGTTATGCTGCAGCCACCCAGAAAGGGAGATGAGGCCAGGGCCCCTGCTCTGGCCCAAGGGAAGGAAGCAGTCTGCCCTTCCCTCTCCCCCACAGCCAGTACCTTCCCTGCTCATGCATGCACAAATATGTAGGGTACAGAGATTGTCCCATGGCAAGAAACATAACAAAGCAAACTTTGCTCATGAGCAGGCTCTGCAGCGGCAGATGACGGGGAGTAGCTGAGGTGGTCCCTAGCAGGAGAGGATAGCCAGTCTGTGGCCCTAACGAGCTGAGGTACACTAACATGCTGAGGGGCAGTCCCCGCCTGACTTATACCTACCTGCCAAACACGCTAGGAGGCAGATCTAGGGTCCCTTCCATCCATAACCTGTCTTGGGATGATCCTGAGAGTGTTCAAAGGATATACTGAATAGGGTTTTCCCCAACGGCCTGGCTGTACTTTTGGTCAGCCAGCCTAGATGTCAGAAACCTACCCTGGAGCCCCAACACCCTTCCTCCAGGTTGAAGAGCTACAGCATAAGTTGGCCATAGTAGAGGCAGCGGGGGAGGCGCGAGCAAAGCAGCTGGAGGGGCATCTCTGTGAGAGTCAGAGGGCTGAGCAGACCCTGCGGGCAGAGCTACGCAGAATCACCAGGAAGTTACAACAGGCCAGCAGCCGGGCTGACAGCCTTCAGACCAGCCTGGACAGTGCCTGTAGCCGAGTCCGAACCCTGGAGCAGGAGCTGGCCCAGGCTGAGAGCGCTAGGCGCAATGCGGAGGCACAGCTGGGCCGGCTGTGCTCCATACTCCGCAGCGGCCTGGGGCTCTGGCATGTGGCCTCTCCAGAGCGGCCCCACTCTCCCATGACAGGTCAGTGTTTTCTGCTCTCTTCTGTCCCCAACCTGAGTATCCCCACCTCTCCCTAGGCCTCACAGCCCACATAATGAGGCTGGACCAGTCCTAACACCTCTGGCAGGAGCCGCAGAAAGAGAAGCTAGGGGTTACCTATGTGTCTGTCCCTACCCACGGTCCCTCAGCTCTCTCCTCTGCAGGCAGCCCCCAGACTTGCCCTGGATGGCAAAGGGCCAGTTCACCTACTAGATCCTATTCTCCAGCCCGATGGCCCTCACCTGTACAGGGAGACTCTGACTCAGCAATCATAGACACGGCCTCTGTAAGGGATGCCCTGAGGGACTTGGTGCAAAAGCTTCAGGAAGCCCAGCAGGAGCGGGTAAGACGGGACTGGGGTCTTCCACACCCACATGGGCATATACCTCCAGGGAGTCTGAGAGGCAGGGAGGGACTTCATCACTCACTCCATTGCCGTTCACCTGTCTGGCCTTTCCCAGGCCTGCTGAGACCCTGGAAAGCACCTTGTGGTCAGTTTTCAGACTGCCCTGTGGTGATAAACACCAGGAGTGCCATCACCTCTCAAACCCAGTTGCCTCGCATGATGCAAGGCCACCCTGGTCTTCAGAGTAGGCAGCAAATGGCCTGGAGCTCATCCTGCTGAGGCAATCCAGAGTCTGAGAGCACTGCAGTAGACACCTGGGCAGGACAGCTGAGTGCTCCCCACAATCTCTCATGTGGGGACACTCTCCCCTATGGCTACTCACTGAAGCCCCTGGTCCTAGGACTCCACCAGGGACACATTGGCTGTCCCCTTATGATTCCCTGGGTAACAGGTGAGCTTGGAACAGGCAGATAATCACAGAGTCCACAGGGGTCGTCCACCTCTCCTCTTTGAGCTCCCTCTTCCCCCCACTGCTAGACCTGGGGGCAGGTTTCTCAGTTCTAATCCTTAGCTGGTGTTCCAGCCTCCTATGGCACCCCTGGATGCTCCCCACTCTATGCCCATGCCCCAAATCTAGGTTCTTCGGACCCTGCCCTTTCTCAAGCATGTCCTCCCAAGCTAGTGTATAAGCTCAGCCACCCACCCTAGCTGGCCTTCCCTGTAGCTTGTGGTCCATCTCATCTCACTATCCTGCCCCATATGCTATGGGCTAGAGCAGGAGCTGCCTGCCTGGTCTCCCAGCTCACCAGTAAATGTCTTGCCCCCTCCCTCTTGTCTGCCAGACCACCCTGCTGAGTTCCTTCTTTCTGCCTAGGATAACTCTCGCATCCAGGTGGACAGTTTGAGCAGCCGGCTGAGCGAGGCAAAGAGTGAGCATGTCTGCCTCCAGAGCCTCATAGTGCAGCTACGGAAGGACGTAGCTGAGGCAGAAGAAGGTGAACCTTCCTATGAGGGAGCCCTTCCATGTCCCTTCCCTGACCACTTTTAGTGTATGGCCTTGGGAGGGCTCTGGGGTTGGCCTGGGGCTGTGCCCAATCCCCAGGATGGCTTGGTGCCACCTTTCTTAGTCTTCCCATTAGAGGGGTGGACTGCAGAGACCTCTGGGGCCTGCTGCACCTGGCCATCCCCACTTCCTGCAGCTCTGCCTTGGGCCAGCTGCAGCTGTTCCCTCTACGGGGCACCCCCCCTTCCAGAAAGGCGCATGACTCCCCTTGGCACCTCCTCAGAGAGGCCCTCTGCTTGGTTCTTCCCCAGTAGTTTAAACTTACTCCCTCCACCCACCCACTAAAAAGGCAGTGTGGTGGGGGGAGGGCAGAGCCTCGAAAAGAAGGGAAAGATGATGGGCAGAGGAAACAGGGCAGATACAGGAAGCAGTGACCCAGGTCAGAGGTCAATGCCGGGACCACTCCCCCACTTCTACTGAGATGGGGAGCCTCTCCCATTCCTGTACCCAGGTGACACTGGTCTCTGCTCACTGAGTCTACTTGCAGCCTGTGAACTGGGAAGGGGCAGTTGCCAAGTGACAGTTACCCCATAGATCTGCCAAGCTTGGGAGCCTCAAGCAACACTGCTTGCCCTGCAGGCCAGCGCAGGGCAGAGAGTGCAATGCACAGTGCCCTGGCAGCTCGGGTGCTGCAGAAGGAGGCACTCCAGCGGCTGGAGGCAGAGCACCTGGCGAGCACACGAGCCGCAGGCCAGGAGAGGCGGAGGCTGCAGGTAGGACTCCTGGAAGGTCGCTACAGACAAACTAGATAGTCATCAGAACTGGGGCCTTGGGCCCATCCCCCAAAGGGTTATCTTTGAGGTGGTCCTCGACCTTATTTTACAGATTGGTGAAACTGAGAGCTGGCAAGGGGCAGAGCTAGGGCTGGATTCCAGCCCTCCAGGTCCACCCACCCATCTGAGGCCCCACCGGCAGGCACAGAGAGGCCATGCCTACCTCTGAGATCCTCACAAGACACTTCGCTGTTGCTTCTGGCCAGCTTTTCATTCGGTGTCACTCAGACATGAGAGGCTTTGCAGGGGACCCGTGTATATGTTCCTATGTTGGGTACTGTGGATAGCTGCTGGAGACTCAATTTTAGGTGAGGACACGGGGCCTAGAAGCCCTAGAGAGGGTGCAGCCAGGCTGTAGGACAGGACCTGGGTCCGGCCTCCCTCGGCCTTCTCAATAAGGAACTCTACCACAGGCCACAGGTGAAGTAATTCAGGGGGTGATGAGTTTCCCTTTGGCAGAGGCAGGACTCCAGAGGACAGCTGAGGCCTTCCCAAATGTTCCAGGCAGACCCAGAAGTGCAGGGAAGAGCATGCCCAGCTGGAAGTCCTCCCCTAAACATCAGGAAGACAGGGTCCCTTGTGCCTATTACTGGAAGGATAAGGTTTGCAGCCATGGGTGGGGATGGTGTGATGGGCTAGAAACTACAGGTCACTTGGCTCCCAAGTGTCCTCCAAGGAGGAAGCTGCATCCTGGGTACCACAGCTTCAACTGAAGAGGCAAATACCAAGTCAAACTGGTCATCAACCCCACCCAGACCTTTTCTCTCTCTCTCCCTCTCTCCCTCTCTCTCCCTCTATCTCCATGCTGGATCATCAGGGGAGTCTAGCTACCCACAGAGGCCTTCTGTACACAGCAGTCACGTGGGCAGGTGCCTCCTGCAGGGAATGGAAGGCAGAAGAGGCTATACTGCCTCCAGAAGCAGCTTCCCCACCTTCCTGGGAGGTCTGTGAGAAGAAAAGAGCTTCAGACAGACCCCTGTGAGCACAGCTGCTGTGGTGGTACAAAAGGACTCAAGTGGCTTTGATGGACAGTGACAGGATTGGTGGTGTACTCCGGAGGTGGGGAGATCTGAGAAGCCAGGGGTGTCCTGCTGGCCTAGATCAGTTGTATTTTACATGTATGTTCACTAGCGTGTGCTTTCTGTGAACAAGCCAAGCACAGCTAAAAACAGCTTATCACTTTTGGGTTATTCATTTAGAAGTGGACTTTCTAAACCTTTACAAAGATATGATTGATACGCCGTCAATGTGATGGCTTTCCTGGACTTCCTCAGCCAGGAGCTGTTGACTTCTACTGTGATTCTTTTTGTCAATATTTATTTATTTATTTATTTATTTATTTATTTATTTATTTAATGTATATGAGTGTTTTGTCTGCATGTATATCTATAGACCAGAAGAAGAATCAGATCCCATAAAGTTATAGATAGTTGTGTGCCTCCGTGTGGTTGCTGGGAACTGAACCCATGACCTCTGGAACAGCAGGTAGTGCTCTTAACTGCTGAGCCATCTTTCCAGCCCCTCTTTTTGTCACTATCAACTGTTTCTATGGATCTTCAGCGCAGGTTCAATGACACACTCCTCCGAATGTAGCGTTCCCACACTACTGTACACTGGAGAACTGCCTTAGTTCCAGCCAAATGCTTTGTCCTCAATCCTACCAGACCCAAGGCTGACAGTGGCCCCCGCTGCACCTCATTTGCCCAGCTGAGCTTCTGCATTCTTGACCTTTATGTTCATTTCCAGTTGGTTCAGCCACCTAGCTTTGGTTTCTACCCATCTTTCCTTTTCAGGGTGTTAGGCGCCATGGTGATGAGGTGCATCCCCTCAGACTGCATCCATGCTTATGTCTCTGAGCTTCCTTGAACTCATGCTGTCTTGTCCACGAGAAGACAGTTTGTTCTTTGTTTTCCTCCAGTCACAGTTCTCATGTGTTTCAGCTCAAGGGTGATCTTGAGGTCCTCCCACTGCTGGGCTAGGTCTACTTTTTAGGTCCTGGGGATCTTTGCCTCTCTCCTTCCTGAACACTTGTGCCTATGTCTTTGTACAGAGGATATGTCTGTTCCCAAATCTCCTCTAGATTAACCTCAGGGAGGCCACCCCCACTTGTGCACTGAGCTTCCATATGCATTCCTGCTGTAGACCCGGGCTTTCTGCCCTCTACCCTACAGAGCCCGTACTTGGCCAATAGCTTCCCAGGATTTTGCCACTTGGGACCATGAGCTGATGATCTAAACTCCCTCTACTGTGTAGAAAGCTCATTCTCAGAGGCAGCACTGCCACAGAGGGCCTCTCCTGGGGAGCACTGGCAGTGTCCCCACAAAACACCCTGTGGAAGGCCCTCCAGGGTTGCTAGGGGTTTTCAGAGTCCAGTTCCTTGCCATTCTAAGACTGAGCTTCTGGTTGTGAGCCAAGTATCTCTTAGCTTCTAGGGCTCAGGATCCCAACTATGGGTCCTCTTGGGCTGACCCACAGGAGAGGGGTGGCTAGACAACCTGGTACAGCTCCTACTCCTCCTCTGATCCCAGCTCAAAGCTCTTGTGTGACTAGATGGGACTGCACAGCGAGCTTCCCGTGTGGCTAACCCAGTGACAGATTTGTAGCCTTCACATCCCCTACATAGTGCCTTGCTGTGACTTCACATGATCTTAGCACAGCAGGGTGATGCAAGGGCCCCTCAAAACCTGAGTGATATGTGGTTTCAACAGTATGGAGGCATTCCAGATGACTTCATAGCACTGGTGAGGAAGACACCATGTGGCCCTCTTCCCCTGAAGGGAACCTGCTTTTTCTTAGATGTCAGGCTTCCTGTTGCCTGTCTCAGATGCTCTGTGCAGATGTGACTGCCCTGCAGCTTTTCCTAGGGCTCTCTCCAAGGTGGATGACAGAAGGCTCACTTGTCTTTAAAATTCAAAGCTCTTTCCAAGTCTGAGTGTGGTGGTGAGCCCAGCATTCAAAAGGTAGAGACAGGAGAATTGCCACAAGTCCAAAGCTAGCCTGCTTCAGATAACAAGAGAGCTCTAGGCCAGCCAGGGCTATGCCAATTACCAAAATGCTACCTTGCCACAGTTCCTTTTACCACCCTCGCCTGCCCCTGTGAGCCCGCCTGCCTGCTGACCATGGCTCTTCCCACTTTAGAAACATCTCAGCCAGGGCTGGAATCCCGGCTACTCCAGAGGCTGATGCGGGGAGACTGAAAGGTCAAGGAAAATAAAAATGGCTGAAAATGTGGCTCAGTAGTAGAGCTTTTGCCTAGCATATGCAATTGCCTAGGCTCAACCTCCAGTACAAATATAAACAACAACAAAATTTTTCTTCACCATTCTCATCTTAGTGCTTTGTCCTAAACTCAAGTCTCGTGATCCTGGGTCCTAAGCCCCTGTCTCAATTTGTTCCCCAAAATCGAGACCTCAGTCTCCCCTGCATCCTGGGCTGTGATCATTGGAACTCTGGCCCCTGCCCTATCTCACCTTGAAAACAAAACTCTCTTTAATTAGAGGGCCTCAAACTTGATCCCCCTGAATGCCATTCTTTCATGATTTTTTTTTTTACTTTGCATATCTTTGAAGAGGGGAACTCTGGTATTGCTAGAAGTTAGAGTCAGAGAAGGGCCAGTAAAACTTTATGTGCCCTATGCTGACATCTTAGGCCCAGGGGAAAGGCAGAAAGTGGTTCCAGTGTCCCCGTGGTATGGGGAGCTATGAGGCTCAGCATCAGGGAAGCATCTCCCCCTTCCAAGGACCCTCTCTCTCCTGGGGACAAAGAGACAAAGGCCTGGTTTCCTAATGACACTGCTGTGGGGTGCCCTCTTCTCTGAGCTTGCCAGTGTGGGTGCAGAGGGGCACCGTGGGATACCTCATCTGTCTGAGCCAGGATTGATGGGCTTTGATGAGTTCCCCTTGGCTTCCCCTCCCAAGACGGCTCTTGGCTCTTCAGTCTCTGCTCTCCTCCAATCACTTCTCAGCTCAATGAAGACTTCACTTTGTTTTTACAGAAGTCTCCTAAAACCTATCAATATTATGCCATCTTTACCTCATAGTCCTAGCAAAATGCCATGTGTTCCTGGCCAATGGAGGCCCGGGGACATGGCTACTCTTACTGACTTCCCGATGCCTCCTTGCTACAGCTGGGTCGTTGCCAGCCCCCACAGGGCTGGCCTGCTGCCCCTCCTGGTTCTGCCAAACCTAGGGCATATTCCAAAGCAAGCCTTGCATTTTATACAACTTCTTTCACTTTCAGGGGCTGACCCACCCCCAACCCCTTTGGTTCACATAAGCCAATGTGTTTGTCAAGAAAAAAGTTAATTAAAAACATATTTTTCTAATTAAATGGTAGGCTGTGCTATGCAAACAGTACAACTCTTGTTTGAGAGCAACTCCCTCCCGTTGCCAGGGCTACCCCAGGACCCAGCAGAACAACGGGGCACACAGGGCTGCCCTGAGAATCTAGAACAACAACAAGGCACACAGGGCTATCCTGGGACCCAACCGGAAGACAGGACACAAAGGTTATTCAGGGAACCCGGCAGAATGATGGACTATGCTGGGGGCCCAGCCGTAGGTACAGCCATGTCCATAGCATGAGGACATGTCAGCCACCCATGGCCAGTACACATGCATCTGCACAGGTTTCCAAGCAGAGGAACCAAGAGCTGTCCCCATGCACACGCTCCTCACACCCCAGCAGAGGGTTACTAATGTTCCCTGTGGACTGGCACCAAGTCACAGCTGCAGAGTCCCAGCGGCGCCTGAAGAGTCCCTGGACTCCTGCCCAGCCCTCCCCTGGAGCGAGCCTACCCTGAACAGCTCCGCTGGCTTTACACAGCCCCTGCTCTCTCTCCTGCTGGCATAAAGAAGCCTCAGGACCAATCTCTAGGATCAAAGTCTGGGTGCACCTGGCCTGCCTTGGAGGCACACATCTGCAGGGCCTCACTTCGTGGACATGAGGCCACGGTTGCAGCTGCACTTTCTTAACGATGTCATATTTGTTTGGATTTATTTTCGCTAAGGGTATTCCATGCTATAAAAAGAGTTGCTGGGCTTCCTGTTCTTGTCTATCACTGAACGATGGAAACTGCCCAGGAATTAGCCTCTCTGGAAAGGTTATCTACTCCACTCTACAGCTCCTGCCATGCCCGCCAAATCCTCCAACCCTGGCCAGCTTCATCTTTGGCCATTTCTCAGGTCATGTTTATTTTGGGAGTTAGGGCTGCCAAGAACCTGCATGTACATATGTCTCCTCAGCCCCTTGAGCCTCCGTTGACTTGCACGTGGAGGTAGATGAGTTACATGAATGCGCGTGCACCGCGGGCTTCTGCGTGAGGGTACGTCTGGAGCCCACTCTCCCACCCTTTAACCACTGGTGGCTGTTGTTGTTGTCACTGCTCATGCTCCACTTAATGTCTGTTTTCAAATAGTCAGCTTTAGCTCTTCTTGAATGTTCATCTCATTTGTTCATTTCAGCTCTTGGTCTTTAATAATAGTTTCTTCTTGTTGTCTTTTTGTTGTAGTTTCCATATTTTTTTTAAAGTGGAAAAACTGAACTGTTGGTGTTTGGACTTTCCTTTTCAGTTTTCCTTAGATGTGATTTGGTATGTATCCTGCAGTAGTTTTTGTTTGTTTGGATGGCTGGTTGGTTGGGTTTTGTTTTTTTCAGAGTCATGTAGCACAGGCTAGCCTCGAACTCAGTACATAACTAAGGGCAACTTTGAACTTCTAATTTTCCTGCCTGCACCTTCTAAGTATGTCATTTACAGGAAGACACCATCATGCCTAGTTTATGCAGTGCTGGGGATCAAACCCAGGACTTCATGCATTCTAGGCACACTACCAACTGAGCTACATCCCAGATCTCCTGAGGTTTTGAGTATCTGTTCTTACCCTTTCTTCCTTTTCCCTGGACTTCTTTTGTCACTTTTTGTTGCTGTGTGTCCCTTGCGCACATGCTTCCTGGAGAGGTTGGGCTCTAGCACAGAGGACAGCTTTATTTCCTATGTCAGTTGCACATGGACCTTTATTTCCATGTGAGCTTGCTAGTTGCTTATTGGCTGGCTGATTTTTGTTTGGTTTTATCTGTAGATGTTTGAGATGGGCTGACAACATTTTGAAGGAGAATATTGAAACCACGGTGGTTGGTATGACCAGCTAGGAGGACTAGCACAAAGTACACAGCAGTGTGTGCAAACTTGACATTGAGTAGGGTCAGGTGGGCCCCTGGGGCTCATTGACTGGCCAGCTTAGCGGGATAAATGAGCTCTAGGTTCAGGAAGACAACCATGTCTCAACACATGTGGAGGAGTTGGAGAGATGGCTCAGGCAGTAAAGCACTTGCTTTTTTTCTTCAGAGAACCCAGGTATGGATGACATACCCACAGTACCCACAAGCTGGCTCACAACACTCCGAGACTCCAGTTCCAGGGGACCCGATCAAGGCCTTTGTGGCCTCCACAGGCACCAGGCATACATGTGGTGCACGCATATACATGCAGGCAAATAATCTTGCACATAAAATAAAAGTAAGTTTGAAAAACCAAGGGGAGAATGATCATGGACAACATCCAGCATCAACCTTTAGGCTCGAGTATGGGCACATGCCCTACGTACACATGAGCACAAGCCCTCGTGAACACGCCCATACACACTCCTTAACACCCCGTCATCAATTAAGGCCCCAGGAGCAGGGTTAGGTGCTGGTAGCTCGTTCTGCCCTTCTTAATGAAGCCAAAGAGCCTTCCACGAGCCTTCAAAGAACCTTCAAAGAGCCTTCAACGAGCCTTCCACGAGCCCTCAAAGAGCCTTCCACGAGCCTTCCACGAGCCTTCCACGAGCCTTCCACGAGCCCTCAAAGAGCCTTCCACGAGCCTTCAAAGAACCTTCAAAGAGCCTTCCATGAGCCTTCCACGAGCCCTCAAAGAGCCTTCCACGAGCCTTCCACGAGCCTTCCATCCCTCTGCTGTTGCATCAACCACCACCCAGTACACAGCACACTATCCTTGACCGTGTTCTTGCCTATTACATCCACGCAGACATGCATGGACATCTCTCCTGGAGATGCCTTGACTCCCATACTTCCACGTTCTCTCTCTTCTCCTTTCCACTTCTCCACCCTCCATCCCCAGAACCAAATAGACACCCTAAGTCAGGCCCTGGAGGAGAGCAACAGGCACAGACAGAGCCCTGCATAGAAGGGCACAGAAGGGAAGGCTGCTAGAACCCCTGCAGCAGGAGAAGGTCCCCAGGAAGACAGGGTGTACCTGTCACCAGGAAGCAGTGAATGTGCTGGCCATGGCACAGCTCTGCATCTAAATACCTAATAAGTTCTCAGGCATAAAAAGGAGACCTAGGTAGATGCCAGAGGCAGGTGTAAAATCATGCAGTGACCCAGACAGTATCCAATTCCTAGTGACAGGCAGGAAAACTGAGGTCGGAGGGGCACCACAGAGAGTCAGAGGGCTGACTTTCTTGCTGCACAGCGGGCACCTCTGGAAGGAGGGGTCATTAGCAGGTTCATAGTTTGGGGGAGAAAATAAGCTGAGCCCAAGACCATCTCCAGCAGACTACCTGGCTCCAAGAGGCCAAGGAGCCCCCACCCCTGGCCCATGTCCATGTAGCTTCTCCCCTAACCAGGTTCTTCTACGGAGTCGTGGAGAGCAGGAAGCTGCAGCCACACTGCAGGCAGAGAGGCACGCCTTAAGGGAGCAAGCAACTTCACTGCGCACCGAGCGGACCCGCCTACAGGGAGAGCTGGCGGCACTGCGCACACGCCTTCTACAGGTATTTGTTTCGAGGCAGGAAAGATTCCTGGAGGTGTACAGGAGGGCTGCAAGAAGTGGGGAAGTCCCATTGGTGGCTAGAGAGCGGATGCTGGGAAAAGAAGTGATCCAGCCGGCTTCATTGTCTACACTTGGCCTGGCGATGGTGTTAGTTCAGAGCCAGCCCCATAGCTTCCAAGCACCTTGTAGAGACTTGACAAGGCACCCTACCTTGACTGTCTTTGAGGGAGGTGAAGCACCACCCCTGGCCAGCTCTTCTTGGGGCCCCTGGGACCTGTTCACAGTGGAAACAGCACCCGACTTTGAGGATGTCATGGCTGTGTCAGGGGCAGCAGGTGAGGTGGCCAGCGTGTTCATAGCTCCTCCCCCATCTTTTCTCATGGAGGAGTACCCACTGAGCTCGTGTAGGGCAGAGCAGACAGGCCATGCAATGAGACCAGGCAGTGTTGCCATTGCTATGGAGTGTCACTGCTCAGCGTAGGTCAGGGTACAAGACAGAATCCATATAGCCTGGTGTCCAGTATGCTACAAAGAAACAGGAAAGGGCAGGACACAGCCTGTCTAAACTAGCTTAGCAGAGTACTGGGCTGCGACCACAGAGTTCTGATACCCTCACTGCCCCCTCCAAGATAGAAGATGCCAGAGCAGTGAGTCCAAAAAAGCAGTCAGGAGGGAGATGGCATGTGGAAGAGAGGAAGGGAGGATAGAATCTGCCAGGCTGGCTGACTGATAGCAGCAACCTGATCCCTCGGGATTTGGTCTCCCTATTTGCAAAGCAAGGCAGCAGGAACATTAGCATTGAGCATCAGGCATGAGATCCAAGACAGGCCGCCCCTCTCAAGGCCTCTTCACTCCCCACCCCAAGCCTGCCCAGGGCACAGGACCCAGCGGGTCAGGGCAGTTACAAAAGCCACCAACCCACTTGTCTGTAAAAGGCTGCCCTCCCACCAAGGGAAAGCAGTCTCAGCAGGATGTAGTCACCAGAGTCTTGCTGCAGTTGCTGGAGGAGAGATGTACTGGCCCCGCCCTGAGCAGGGTGGGGAGTAGGATCGTGCCTTCCTGGATGGTGCTGGGGCAAGGGAGGTGGCCCTGCCTAGGGGCAACAGAGCAAGCTGTGGGCACAATGCCAGCCTTGGGTCCTGGGGCCCGAGAGGGGGAGGGCAGGAACAGCTAATTAGTTCCAGGAGGTCAGCTGTTAGGGGCCCCCAAACCCATAAACCCTTTATTAGTGTCTCAGGAGGGGAAACCCGGATGTGGACATTTATTTATTTTGGATTTCACTTTTCTCTTTATAACACGCATTTCTAGCAGCGTAACTAAATTTTTAAAGAAACAGGGTTCCCTTTTCAGTGGAGAGGTCTCTTTTTTTCTCAGTCCTATGGAAGAAGGCTTTACAATTTATTTTTTTAAGACTCAGATCCTTACCCTATAACTTTGCCCATGCAAACAACTCACTATATCCCAAGGTCCCTGGGAATCCTATGTGGGCTCCAGACCCCAGGTGGCAAAGGTAATCTGCCCAATACTGAAAAGGGAACCACATGGCATTGGACCCCAGCAGGCCAGCAGGCCAGCAGGCAGGCAGGCACAGCACTGAGCAGAGAGGCAGTCTGGCTTAAGAGCAAGGCCTGGCTCTAGTCCTGCCTTGGTGATGGCCAGCCTGATGAGGCTGTGAAGCCAGGATCCCATAAGTTTTCGAGAGCACCTATATGGATAGGCAGGCTTCTGCTGTTCTCCAGAAGAGAGGATTCCTCATCAGTTGTGTCTTTCCAGAGGTTTCATATGCAGGGCGTAAGGACCCCTGACCTTCTCATGGAAAATGGTTACATCTCATATCCAACTTACAGGGCACAGGTGAGGGCTGTGTTCCAGGATGGATGCAAAGACAGCTATGCCACTTGGACACGGGCTTGTTGGCCTGTGACAGTGGCTACAGCCAGATCCATGGCTTTGTAGAGGGAGAAGGTCCTGTTCTTTTCGAAAGGCCATGGGAGTGTCTGGGGCTCAAGGGGCCTGAGGAACATTGGCAAAGGGTAGAGGTATTGGTCTTCAAATGCCCCTCCCTTCCCAAGGATCGCTACAGGGACTTCTGCTGGTGCAAAAGACACAGGCCCCACTCCTACTGTGGCTGCAGATGCCAATAGACCTGAACAGGGGCCAGTACCCCTGACAGCTGCACCAGCTCTCAGGAGCCTTGGCATCCAGGGCACAAATGCCCTTTATTCTCCAGCGGGAAGTCTGGCCTGAGATTGCACCTCTGCCAGAAAGACCCTAAATCCCACTGAAGTTCCACTTCCCCGTCCCCTGCAGACAGAGCAGGAAACTCTGAGGAAGGAGGAGGACACAGCAATGCTGGGGGCCAAGAAGGAGTGGCTGCTCCAGGTTCTGAGCAGCCTGCACCAGGAAGTAGATGGGGCCCTGCGGCAGAGGCAGCAGCTGCAGGTGAACTGAGCCAGTGCAGTCTCATGTTGTGGACTGAAAAGGCAGCTGGACAGGTCACTGTCCATGAGGGGTGCCAAGCTGATATGGAAGCAACAGCGCAGTCCACCGGAGAGTCCACTCAGAGTTCCAGTGTGACGTGGAGCCGGGACTGAGGGCAGTCTTTCAGGAGTGGTAGGGCTGCTGAGGTCCTGTGAGCCAGGCATGGCTCCGCAAAATGGCACAGGAAACAAGATAGAGGGGCTGGCAGGACAGGGCCATGCATGTCTCCTTGGCCCAGGCCTTGAAAGCAACCTGTGCTCCTTTGAGGCTTTAGTCTCCCCTTTCACCATGGGACACCGCTCCCTCCCCCCCATTCCAGCTGGCTACCTTTAGGGAGGGTGGATAATCATCAATATTCAGTGACCTCAAAGGGAACCTGTGATTCTGTTCACACAGATTTAAGGCCCACTCCAGGGGCTGTGGCTTGGGCTCCAGCCCAGCAAAACCCTTAGCAGGTGGCCTGGACCCAAAACCTGTGGGCTGAACATGTATGCCAGTTCCAGGTCCACTGCTGGCTCTGGGCCAGGGCCAGCACCCCAGCAGAAAGCAGTGGGGCCAAGACAGGAAGTGCAGCCCCAACGATAGGGTGGGGCATCCCACTGGACCTGACCCCAGGATCCCAGCAGCCCTCAATGCTTGTGTTCTCATTCCAGGCCCAGATGGCGGAACTGGAACAGGCCCACACCCAGAGACTCCAAGAGCTGGCTACCCAGCACCAGCAGGACCTGGCAGCTGAGGCTGATGGGCTCCATGAGTCCCAGCTGCAGGCCACACAAGCTCTGGAGTCCCATGAGCAGATTCAACAGCAGAGGGTGAAGGTCCTGGAAAGGCAGGTAGGCCCAGGAGCCCAGGTACTCTGAGCAGGACTGCATAAGGAGAAAGAAGGGCCCTGTTCCCATGGCACCCATGCAGAGACAACCACATGAACTTTACTGGGGGCCTTGGCTTTTGGCATGCTCTATATGTGTGCCTTTTTGCAGGAGCAGCTCCTTGGCTCACCTACAGCTCAGTGAGTGGTAGAACATGGGTGCTGGGCCTCTACTACCCTGTCCTGAGAGGATGATTAGGATAGTTCCTGTCAGAGGTAGCCACGAGACTGGCTGGTCACTGGGTGACATGCAGTCTGCCTGCCATGTGCAACTAACAGTGGTGGCCCCACACTTATTCTTTGGGGTCACAGGGCAAACATCAGCTCGTGCAAGCTCAGGGGGTTAGGAAGTGCATCTGAACTCGGAGCCCTGTGCATGTGCAGAGTGCACTCAAGAAAGTACTCGCTCATGAGCTGAGCCTGCCACAGCTCAACTGCTGAGTCTAGAGAGCCTAGAGCCACTTCGGGTGACGGTGCACACCTTTCCTCAGGGAGGGAGAGGCAGGCAGATCTTTGACTTTGAGGCCAGCCTGGTATACAGAGAGAGAGTTCCAGGACAGCCAGGGGTACACAGAGAAACCCTGTCTCAACAAACAAACAAAAACACCTTAGAAATGTTGATGCTCAAGATCCTTATTTCATGGGAAGGAGACACAGAGGCAGGTGAGGAGGCCACCCAGTGTTACCCTCACTTTACTTTCCCTAACCCACTAGCAATGCTTACTTTTAACCCAGGCACTCGCGTTTTTGCCCTCACCAGAAAAGGATCCGTTTGCTATTGGTAGTATGCTCACAGATGTTCAGAATGGCAGGCTTAAGCTGTTAATCCGTCTGTCTGTCTACCTGCTGTTTCTGTCTCATGCATGCTCCCTTGGGAGCCATAGATTGCAGCCTCTCTGAGCCCCTCCTGATACAACTCTCCACAACTCTGTTCTTGGGGGTTCCTCCCCACCTGCCTGAATCCCTACTCTGTCTCCAGGTGGCTAGCCCGAAGAAGCAGCTGGACCAGGAAGTGTGTCAGCAGCAGCAACAGGCCCATAGTGACTAGATCTTTTGAGCCAAGCAATGACCTCCACTGCAGTTCCCTCCCTATGCCCCTGTGCTGGGTGGCCTGCACTGACCATCCAGGACAGCAGGCTCTGGGGGAAACGTTAGAGCCCTCCGCTACTGGAGAAACTGGTGCTGTGCACACTAGAGGGGCCAAATTCAACAAACATCAGTGTGTAGTGAGAAGGTGTACCATCAGCCACCAACCAAAGCACACTACTCCCTCCACAACTCTTCCCCAGACTTTACAAGTCCCAACTCTTCGGACATCAGCTTCCAGCTGGGCTGGACCACATTGCTCTTTAATCCTCCTTCCTGCTGCAGGGAGCACGGGTGTTGACCACCCCTCAGCCTGAACTGGGCCTGGGGCTCCATTTCCAGATTGGACCTGCCATTGGGCCAGGCTGGTGGCTGGGTCCTGTCAGACCAGCTTCCTTGCCACAGGCTGCATTCCGTACCCTCAGCTCTGTAAACACAGGGAAACACATGGAAAACATTTCCACCAGCAAGCGCCAAAAACACAATGTCCTGCAAGGCCAACCACCACACCCCACATCCAGAGGCCACAGAATCTTCCGCATCCAGGAACTGCAGTCCCGGCATGGTGGCAGGTGGCTGGAAATGACTCAGAGGTGAGTCCCGTGACTCGCTGGCCACAGGGGTGTTGTAGATCTGAAGCTGTTCCAGAATCTCCCATTTCCACACCAGAAAATGCTGAAAAATGCCAGGGGAATCCTGCTCTGGTTGTTATAGAGACCAAGGCCACCATCTTACCAGAGCCTGTTCCTGCCTCACCTGTTGGCATCTATGCACCCTTCTCCTGTTAAGTGCTGGTCAGAGTGAGCTTTGTTTCTTCTCCAACCAGTCTCTTTGGGATTGGAAATGGCACTTTCCAGTGCCTCTTCAGCTGCCAGCCAGTCTGGTAAATTCTTGTCTGCACCACTAGGTGCACATTGCCCCATGGCTTGTGCTTCTGCCAGGACCTCCTGAAGCATCTTCAAGGACTCTGGCATGGGGCAGGAACGGCCAGAAGCTGCTGGAGCCTGTCCAATCGCAGTCATGTAGCTATGGCCAAGATATGTGACAGCCTGTCAGTTTACTTCAAGATCACCAGGGACTTAAAATCAGCCATCCTGGCAGACCTTTGGTTGAACTTGGTAACCGGATCCTGCACAATCAAGGTGGGCAGATAGGCTAGATCGAAGATGACGATACAGTCAGGCTCTGAAAGGAAGAGCACACAGACCCACTGGCAACAGCTTCCCTGCACAGAGGACCTGTTGGTGGTGGCATGGGTACCGTGATGCGTGCTCACCTACAGTTTCCAGGCCCCACAAACACTGAGCCTCGCAGAGGAGAGCCAGGACCTGCCCCACTGAGGACTGGGAAACTGGGATTTTGTAGTTGGCCCTTACCTTCTTCCTTCCCTGGTCTGCAGTTCCCCTGTGGTGGTGGTGTACTTCCCCTCAAGGACCTGAGCATGACACAGAAACTGGAGCTTTCCACAGGAGGCCAGGGAGTTCCTCCGTGGCTCATTCAAGGAGCCTTCCTCTTTCTGATATTTCAGGGCTCACTGGAGTCCCGGGGACATCAAGGGGATTGAAGCTGCCAGCTGAGGTGGTGTCCTGTAAACAGAGCACAGAGGACACACTTCATCAGTGAGAGGTCGGATACTTCTCAGCACCAAAATGAAAGACACTGTGATCTGACCAAGGTGCTTCCTGGTGACCTGGGGCCTTTTACACTAACTGCTCAGGAGAGCATTCAGAGTACAGAGAGGGCTTCTGAGATTACCATGCTTTGAGTATTTTTACATCAGTGCAGGAGGTATTGTTTTTACTTATTCAACATAAAGGAATATATTTGTGTTGAAAAGGGATGTTTTCTAAAGAATATATTGCATTTCTCTAAACATTTTCTAAGGTGTGTGTACATTGGTATGTGTTATCTGGTGGTTTCTGCCCTGGGCAAAGTGGTGCTGGTTATGAAAGACCTTCCCAGCAGTTCTCTGAGACCACTGTTTGTGGGTGCAGAAACCTCACAGCTGGGCCAAGATTAGATAGGTAACTATTGGCAGGCAGTGAACCAAATCCAGGACCCCACAGCTCACCCCATGCTGGCCTCGCCCCACTCCACCTGCCCAGTGGAGCTTCAGGTACAGACATGCAAAGAGAAGAGGACAGAAGGGCATCCCACAGCAGAGGTAAGGCTAAGGAAGGAGGCAGCTGGATGAACAGTTCAGTCCATGCAGATGGTGGGGGACCTGGCTTTCTGTCTCTTACCTTCCCCAGAGTTTGAGAGGAAAGGCTCTGATACCTCCCTGATAGAACAGCCTGGTCCTACTTCCAGGGGGAAGGTAGGCAATTTCTTCTTTTGGAGTGCCCCACATTTGGTTCTTGGACTGTATAAAGTCTGATGGGTCCCAACACCTGTTGGGGAGATGCTAGCCTCAGATGGGAATCTCCGCTCTGCTCCCTAGCTGGGTATTCTGAACAGGCTCTCTGGAGCCTGTGAGAATGTGAAAGTGGCCCTGAGGCCTGGTCCTGCAACGATGGAGTCCCAGAGTTCCTCCTGGAGCCTGGAGCTGCACATACATTGTTAGACCACCCTGGACCCCATGTGTAGCCCCTCAGCTGGCACTCCACAGATGAGCCTCTCCATGCCCATTCCCTCCAGAGGTTGGGGAGCACACAATACACTAGGCGACAGACACACACATATTCACACATAGAACTCAGAATCAGGCATTGGCCAAGTTCTTTTTAGAGACAGAGCACAAAATCTGACAGACACATGCCACTGTGCAACTTCCAGTGAGGCCTATGGGACATGCTGAGGGTAGTAACAGCCCTACTCCCTCTGACTAAGGGAGCTCTGGCCGAAACTCTTGGGTGCCCAGTCTGCAGCCACCAGCCTTGCCAGCCTTTCAGGTTACTGTTGCAAGAAGACAAATAGACTAGAAGGGCCTGGGCCCAGGGAGAGCTTGGAGAAAAGGCCAGACTAAGAGTTCAGATGTCACATTTAGAGACTGGCCAAAGCAGGAGGCAAGGGCTCCTCTGTCTTGACTGTTGCTGGAGCGGGACACAACCAATGTGCACTGCTTATTCGAGATGTCTGAAACATTAACATTTAAAAAATACATCCTGTGTCGTTTAACAATGGAGATACATCTGAGAAACATCACTGGGCAACTTTGTCACCACAGAACACCACGGAATTTGCTATTCAAACTGTGATTGCTGCAGTACCCTGGGTGATCCGCTCTTTGAAGACCATCTGGTATATGTGATCCGTGCCTGACCGAAAGATTGTTATACAAGAAAATAAAACCTCACAGGAGACATGTAAAGATGACACCACCACATGTGATCCAAACCCCGCTGCCACACAGGGGAAACCTGAGCAGCTCCTTTCTCCAGAACACACACTGAGGATGGTTGTAGTGGGCACGCCACTCCAAATACTGTCTCCCAAATGTTTTACTTGGCATGACGTCATCAGTTTTCCCAATGCCTTTAAAACACCCCAGAAGTAGGACTGTGGTTTCTCAGATCTGCATGCCCACCCATGCCAGCAGCCTCAGTCTTCCGGAGACAGGAAAGAGCGGTCCCTGTGGAAGAGGACCCCCAAGGCACCTGGGAAGCCCCACTCCACATATGTATGTGTTCCCGGTCACCTCAGGTGGACTCAGAATTTTCCGTGGAACGATTTCTGCACCACACACTACCCTCTCAAGTGGGTGGGAAAGTTCTGCCTGAGCCCGCACCTGCGTGGGCCTTTTCTTGTTCAAAACAAAGCAAGTGGTAGGCATTTGGGGAGGACATGTTGAGCTAATTGTCACCCCAAGGTCAATGGCAAAGGTCAGGGCATGGGTGCTGAGGTCAGCCAGCCTCATGTGTAGGTGCTGTGCAGGTATGGACTGTCCAGTCTCACCTACAGGTGGGCTATGTGCTTCTCCTCGGGAGCTGGGGCCCACCTGCCCAGCACTCTCAGGCCTCTCCCAGCCCATCCTGGAACAGTAGAGGGTGACTGGTGGTGGGGGCTTCTGTTTGTTCTGCGTGATGCAGAGTTGTTTGAGGAGAGCACGAGCTACTCTAGCTGCCTCCAATGAATGTGAAGGAGAAAAAGCAGGGGTGGGCTGCAGCCTCGGGCCTGCTGTGTGGGGCGGGCTGACTAGGCCAGTCCCCCTACCAGGCAGAACAAGGGTAGTGTTCCCCATCTTGACCTTCATGGACCCCCTAAGGCCTGAACATCTGGTGGGTGGCTCTCTGGGGTTTCCCCATCTAAACAGGCACACACAGTCAGGCCCTAAATTAAAGTGTCACAGGTCTCTTGGGGAGCTCAAGTTTCCTGCTGCAGAACATGAGCCTGCTTGATAAAAAACGATTTTGGTTGTGATAAATGTGGATTTTCTGTGGTAGAGACAAAGGCGCCCTTGAGTCCAGGGGGGAACCTAAAACAGCACACTGCTGAAAAGTATTTCCTGATAATATTTTTAGCACCTGAAAAAAAAAAAAAGCTATTTTCCCTCTCTTTTTGCCTGTGAGTCTTTGTGTGTGTGTGTGTGTGTGTGTGTGTGTGTGTGTGTGTGTGTGTATGAAATGCATTACCCAGCAACAACAATAAGATTTGTTAGCCCCCCACCCCCAATCCTGTCTCCCAGGCTTCTCTGAAAATCTGCACAGGGCACCCAGTTGGAGATAGAGGTCAGCGCCACTACTCTTGATGGAAATCAGAAGACCCAGCCTGCTCCTGGACCTGCACACAGAGGCCAGCTCGGAGGTGAGCCTCTGTCCTGGTACCCCACAGCTGAGCAGGGGATTCTGATGGAAAACGGTCAAGACCCCATGTCTCACCCACTACTTCGCCCTACCTGGAGGGATAGTCTTCAATCAATGAATCTACTGAGCACTGCTTTGTACCTGACAGTGTGCCCAGTCCTGCGGCAACCCCGGAGTCCCCAGGAAGACATAAACCCAAATCCAGGCATGGGCCTTTACT